ATTGCTAAATCGTTCCATTGTTTCTCCTAATCATTGAAATATCCAAGAAACCGAGTTTTTCATTCGATTCGAATTCGGAAGTCACTCGGATATTTGGATGCATATGATTAAATAAAGTAATAGAGTTTTCAATAGACTTACTATTATTACCAATAATGAGTGTATCATCCACATAACGTTCATATAGCATGAATTTTCCTAGCATACCTTGCATTTGTTTCCCCAATTTGGAAATGAATATATTTGCTAACAAGGGTCTAAGAGGGCTCCCCATCGCAACACCATCGATTTGTTTGTGTGCCTTTTCTTGGAAAGTGAGTCTGATATTTTCTGTACATGTTGAGATAATGTTTATAATGTAAGTGACAGGAATAGGTAATCGTATCCTATTGCTTGTGTTTTAATCGCAAGTGAAATCAATAGTTATAAGGAACTTTGGTGAATAACGATTCTATGTCTATTGAGCACATAACCTTTTCCTTAATGTTCAAAGTGTCTAGCATATTGGTCAGATCGAATGAATTTTTTATAGAATGATTCGATAAGGAGTCTCATACTGACGTAAGGACCTCTGTAATCCATTTTGCGATTTATGATATAGAGAATTCGACATATCTAAGATGGGTCTCAGCGAATTCCAAGGTTTGTGAATCTTGGACGGCCATACAGCCGGGGAGTATATGATCCAATAGCTTTAAGTTGTTTATAAAGTTTTTCATTTATAAAACCATGCATCAGTAAAATCCGAAGCTGACGATTAATCTGCTTTCCCACAAACAGCACATTGTCAGCAGTATTATCCACCGGAATTTGGACTGATCTTTTAGGATTTCATTAATTTTATTTTGATCTAATTTATTCATGATGACGACGCCTTCTCCTTTGTCAGGTTTAAGGATGATAAGATTATCTTTTTCGATTAATTCCTTCACAATTATTCAAGATTATTAAATATTATGGAAGCATTTTGAACGAGTTACATACAACCTAAACTATGTCTACGAAAACTAACAGACTTCAACCTTCGCCTACCATGGACTACTCGACCTATTTAAATATGAATGCCCATTAGTGTGTACTTTTGATTTTATATAACTGAGTAATTGTCGTGCATTTTAATTTTATTATTGTGAACCATGCTAGTTGTAAAGCGATTGAAAGTAGAAACTCCGAAATGATGCTATCATCACAGGAAACCTTGCTTCTAAATGTCTGATTCGGTCGGTCGGTCGGTTTTCGACATAGAACTTTGCACATATTTGCGGAAGTTCAAGTTGCCACACTCCCTCCATGTAGCACACAAAGCAAGAGAAGAAAGTAGGAGAAATGCATAATATAGACAGTAAACAGAAGAGTGAGACAAAGGAATAGTAATAACGAAGAACAAAGCAGTTTCATTGGAAATCATAAGTCACATGTTTTCGTTTGACCGCCGCTAGCTCTTTTCCAGCCTATATCAGCTAACATTGCCCGTCAGTCGAGGAAGGCGATGACTAGGCATACGTAACACATGTCCTAACCATCTCAGTCGGTGTAATTTCACAGTGTCGTAGACTGATTTCCCCTCCTTACCTAGCACTCGACCGATGCCTAACCTCAATATTGCTCACCTTATTATACCACTTCACGCGGGAGATAGAACGCAGACACCTATGATCGAAGACAGCTAATCTTTTAATGTCTTCTGCTCTCAATGGCCAGGTCTCACAGCCATAAAGGAGGACGGAGCGGACTGTTGAGCAGTACACACACCCTTTGGTCGATAATCAGATATCGCGTCTACGCCAGAGACGGCGTAATCTGGCATATGCGAAACTAGCCCTCTGTATTCGTGCTGAGATTTCGTCGGAGATCAACCCGTTGTGGCTGATGGTACTTCCCAAGTAAGTGAAGCGGTCAACGTGTTCTACCACTTCACTTCCTATTTCTAATCTAGAGGTCGGTGAAGTCCAATCCTGCAGCATCATCTTACATTTTACAGGGGCGAATCGCATGCCAAACATACGAAGATTGTTGCTCAAGGTGTTCAGTAGACTCTGCATTTTGTCAGCGTCCTCGCCTAGAAGGACTATATCGTCCGCATATTCTAAGTCGACGAGATTATTCCCTGATTCAAATTCAATAAAATAATGGAAAATCATTATTGATGAGTTTATGTTTATTCTTTGAAATGATCAGTTTCCCATTTTTCTACAAAATTTATTTATTTTTATTTTGTAGATTTCCTTCTTTTGGAATTTCCCCAGTTACTATATGTAGGAAGTTCAAATATTTTCGGATTTCATCAATCCCATTACATTTTAACTTCAGTCGCCATCAAAACTGATCAAAGCTGCTTAAAACTTATTCGATTACTTATTAATATTCTGTTGTATAGAACTAAATTATATACAACAAAAAATAATCCAATTTATATTGATAACATTGAAAATTGGATGATAAGTTTAAGAAATATAACAATATGGGGTTTTGATGAAATTAGTCAACTGAATGAATCCACCGATCAATTCAGTATTGAACAAGAAGAAATCTGGCTTCATTCAAACAAAAGTCAACCAAACAGTGATGTTTCAATTAAAGAATGGATGATGAAACGAGACAGAAAGTTATGCGATGTATATAAAATTAAATTTTCGATTAAATTCAATAAGCATTTAGAATTATCAGCTAATTGGTTACTATTTCCAAGTTTAAATTCGTTTACCGCTAAAAATGATTTTATCCATATTAAATTTGTCGATTTGATTATTGATGTCAGCTTACATTTATTTATTAATCAGAATGGTCCAGTTGGATTAGAAATTGATTATATAAAGATAACAAATTTATCAGATATAGAATTGTATACTTTTCAAGATTCTAATTATTCAACTGACAGAAATTTTAGTAGGCATAATACTACTGTTAATAACTTTGAAAATTCATTGCAAAAATTCACTTTTTCATGGTTATTAGATGAAAAAGCTTTACGTGATGTGCTGTTTCACTTGTTAGAGACAATAGTTACAAATACTTTGAAAACAAATTTAACTCGACTGCAAAGTAACTTTACAATGAATAATAAAAGTGTTGACTGTAAAAATATAAATTAATTTAAAAAAACAATAATGCTTCTTATGTTATTCTTATCAAATACAATTTCTAGTTTTAAGTTCTATCCCCTTCTAAATGTGTTCTACATCTTTTCCCTAGCTTAAAAGACAATACTCAGATAATCTGTAATCATCAGAGTGGGAAAGATTTACTACACGCGTGATCACTGACTGACATCAGTTAAAGAGCCACTGGAAAACTATGGAGTGCTGGATAGTTGTTTCACCCTAGTTCGGGACTTTTCAGTAGTACACAGCCACTGAGACTTCGACCCACGACCTTTCCTGGCTTTTTAATGGTTAAACAATCAAATCCCTGCTAACCAACACTTGAAAAAGATTCATTTTAGGCACTAATGAAATACCAGTAGACGACGTCCATTTTAAAGGTACCCAAAACTCACTAACTTGACTTTTATCGTCATCTATGCAAAGATTTGTCAAAGCAGTTGTGTATACACTCTATCCCTTTTGCATTCCGAAATGTCTACTAATTTTAGGCTAACTCCAGAAGAAATGCCCAATTAATTATCAACAAAATTCAATACGCTTTTCTTCATATTATCATTTGTTTTGATAAGAAAATTGTTAATACTTCTCTTTCTATCCTTTGTATGGATCTTTCAGATATTGAGCTGAACCATGGTTACAGTGGCGGGGGTAATTCGTACATGACTTAAGTACTCCTACTAATTTCTCAGTTCTGAATCGTCCAAAGTTATTACCTATGACTTTCCTGTGAAACTATCACTGATTATCATTTTAATTTTTCGTCCCTTGGATTTCGAGTACAACAAAGAGCTTTAGTGGGAGATCTACATTCCACTTGTTTATTTGCCGTCTTTTTAGCTGGCTCCACGACTGCCCACCAGCTTTTATCTCCTCTTCACATGATCTCCATGTCATCATCGGAACCACATCCTACCTGTCTCCAGAGTGGGGAGGTATTGATGAAGGTCTTCAACCTGTTGGAAGTACTTTCGATGATACATACGCCAAGTCTTTAAGCCATATAGAAGCACTGACTTGGCATTGATTTTAAAAGTTTGATCTTGTTCCTTTCTTTAAATGTCATAGTTTTCCACACTTACTTCAGAGTTATGAAATCTTGTTTTGATTTCCCTATCAGGCTGTGCTTATCTTAAATATCCTTATCCGTGCTGCCATCTGTAGTTGAAACGATTCTGTCGCTACTGGTGAGTGAAGGAGACGCCTTCCTTTACGTTCCTGTCACCGATGGTGCTTGTTGGTGATTGCTGGTTGGGTATCTTGATCATCTCTGTCTTTTCTATGTTTACCTGAATTTATTCCTGTTGTCTGCACTTCTTCTGGTTCTTCCTTGTAAATCTTGACGTTTGTAAGACATGCGACATAAGTCATCCGCGAAGTTCAGATTTTCTAGGATTTTTGTTTGTAAGTCTGACCTATGCCCGTCTTCTCACTCCGCATGGTCTGTCCCATGATCCAGTCCAACACGTTCACGAAGATCATCAGTGATAATAATACTGGGTAAAACATTCACCACTTCCGTCCTCATTCTTATGTAACGAAGTGAAGTCAAAGCGAAAACCTTGTTTGTTGTAGGATGAGAACCAGTGGCCTTGTGATTGCTACTATAACTTGGGCATTACTTTTAAATTCTCTGATTAACTTAATAAACTAAAGTGAGATCATTCCTTTTAGTTAAAATTGTACAGCTTATATTAGCTGTAAAGCATTAGCAAACTGAGTATGGTTATTCCAGTCAACTATATAAGTAATATACCTTTTAATATCAGGTTTTCTCCTAGTATATTCACCTATTGAAAGTATCATTAATGGCTGTCTATCAGTTCAAGATTTTAGCATGTGTCTTTGAGCCAAAAGTTAGACAGTTGAGATAAAACAAACATCGAAAGCTCTGCTTACTCGATAGAACTGAATTTCATGTTCTTCAAATTTCGGCACCTCCACACTATCAGATAAGTTATTCACTTCTATTACTCCAATAAAATATTTTTTAGGAGTTGGTATAGGTATAGCAAGAGCAAATGGAAGCGGCTGGTCATTTGAATTTGAGTTCACTTCACTACATATTGATGACGAACTATACTCTTCCTTGTTCAAGTGTGAATATTTCCTAACGTCCAGTAGTTCAGGATGAATCAGTGTTGAACCTGTCCTTAAACACTAGAAAAATAAAAATCGATTAAGAGTACAGTTTTAAAGTGTTATTCTACTCATAAGTAACTAAAAGTAGACAAGTAATTCTGCAATTTTAACATTAATAATATAAAATGATCCTTTTGGTAATAAGCCAAAATCAAACATAGAGTAGGAAACGAGGTATGTTTCTTTACTTTTGGAACACATTAGAAAGGGAAATATTTGGCCACTGACGGTTTGTATATTTCAAGTCACACAGCGGAAATGAAATATGCATTACTAACGATCCAGCACCATTCCATATAGTTTCGTCATCTATATCTATTATTATTATTGTTCCCTTGGGTTTCAAGTGGAACATGGGGCTTCAAACACGCCTATCGACTTTCTTCTATTTTCTGCCATCCACTTCAGCTGGGCCCACGATTGCCCATCATCTCTCGCATCCTCCTCCTCACCAAACTATCTCCCCCATGTCACCCTTGAACCGACGACCCGCTTGTTGCTTCCCGTCTGGATCCCACTCGAGTGGTGGCCTGAGTTGAGTGCAATGTTATTCGACGGCTTCCTCAAGGTACGTCTGATCAATCTCCATTTTCTCCTACATATTTGTTGAGCAATCGGCTCTTGGTTAGTTTGTTCCCAGCCAGAGTGTCTTGCTGCTAATTTTTAATGGCCGGCTGGCCATTTGATCTTCAATATATGACCAGCGAAGGCGGCTGTTGATGAAAGTCTGCAACCTGTTGGAAATCCTTTTAGTGACGCACTGGTCAAGTTTCTGACCCGTATAAAAGCGCTAACTGACTTAACATTGGTGCTGAAAATCTAAATCTTGTTCTTTATGGTGAGTTAGTGCAGAGGATTTCCACACTGACTTCAGATTGATGAAGGTGAATCTTGGCTTTTCGACTCTGGCTTTCATCCGTCCCAACTATGGTTGAAACAATGCTTCCTTGAAAAGTGAGGGAAGTAACCTCTTTCAAGTGTCCCCAGATGATAATGATTAGTGCTGCATATTGCTGTTGTTGGTTTGTTGTCTTCATGACCTCCGTCTTCTTTATGTTCAGCTAGAGTCCTGTCTTCTCTGGGTGCTTCTTCAGCCGGTTTTTTGTTTTTTTACGTTTGTGTAACATTAAACATAAATCACCCACGAAATCCAGATCTTCTAGAATATTCCTGTCAGTCCATCATATTCTTGTCTTCTCACTCTCTTTGCACAGTCTGACGCATAATCCAGTCCACCACAATTACGAATATCATTGGTGATAAAAGGCAGCCTTGCCCTGCTCCTGTATTCACTAACTATATGTATATTACCATTAAATGTTATACTCCATAAATTAGCCAGATTCATGGTGTAAACTTTCAATAACTCCCACGATAAGAAACACTTACGATATACTTGTTCTTCAATAAACATCCCACTTTTGTCAATAAATTGTTAGTTCAAACCCCTGAGGGACCTTAGCTGTCGTGTCAATTATCAGTGCTACCCAGATGCATTACAAGTCATTCTACCAAACTGAAGTTACTTCATATCGTCTCGCAAAGCATAATTTATTCCAATTACCTTACAGAGTAATAAGATGAAGAGGTTATATATACTTGGTTATTATACAGAAATCAGTAAGTCGATAATATGTTTACTGGTTATATGAGTATAAAGAAGATAACATGCAACAGGAATGATTCAACATCTTTACCAGATATCTGGAAAATTCAAAGACCCACCAGAGGAATAAGTAAAGAACAGCTATAACTATAAAAGCTAAGTTCTAAAGATGAAAAGCTACATTCTGTGATATCATTCAGAACAAAATTTATTTTGGCAATATTACTCAGCAAATAATATTATTTCAGTGTGTGGTGATTTAAGTAAGGAAAAAACTAATACGGAAAGATAACATGAATTCATTTAATTGACAATGAATGTTGATGATATAAAATTTATATTAGATGGTTGGAGGCAATCGGAAGGAAGCCTTGGACTTAGATTTCGGGCTTGTTGGTACCCATCAGCAAGGCGTATCTGCAACCTTTGAACGGAATTATGTCCCTTCTCAGATTCGAATTCGAGTCACCCAGTGCTGCCTGCAGTCATAGACATTACCACTGAGCTATTCGGGCTCGCGACTGACCTCCTGTAGGAATGTACTGGATACTTTGATTGGACACTAATCAGTGACTAGTGTAGTGTGTCTAGTCCCTTCTTCGTTGCAGACTGAATTCTATCAGTCAGGTTGTAATGTGGCCACCATTCTAGATTCAAGGTTGCAGACACGCCTTGCTGACGGGTGCCAACTAGCACGAAACCTAGGTCCAAGGCTTCTTGCCAATTGCCTCCAACCATCTAATATCATCAAAGACTGAATACTATCAGTCATATTTGCAATGTGCTCATCTAATACCAACAATTCACGGTGCACTGTGACGGCGAGCTACCTAGAATGCTGGTTGCATTGCAAACTTGACTAATAGAATTAAGTCTGCACCAAACAGGAGACAAGACACACTACACTAGTCACTGACTAGTGTCCATTCCAAGTCCACAAACTTTATATTAAGCTCAATGTTTTGTTAATACTTGAATCCTAGTTGGAAAAATTCATTGCAAATAATTTTATGTTAAAATTCAATGAACTTCTTAGAAATCTGTTAAATCTATTCATAGTCAACAGAGAATAATTCACTAAAATTAAGTTCACTGATCATAATTTACATTTCAATTCGTTTCACGCAAGGTTTTAATTTCATTTCACAGATATCCTTCAGTCAGGTTTTGAGATAACGAAAAATAAGAAGACGAAACTAGTTCTCGATTTTGTCGACGAACTCTGTATTCAAAAATTACTTGGGTTTTAAAGATCATCAGTTGATTTATATACGTCCAAACCAAGATCACTTTTAACAGTTTGAGAAAATTTGGGCATTGGGTATATGATATTCATTATACTAAAGGTTTTCTTGTATTTCCCAATGAATGAAAAAGAAATGGATATTGTATTTTTACTGATGTTTCGCAACTTAATACTAATAGCTTTATCAAAGTATTATTAAACCAGAATTTACAAAATCTCAGCTTATATATATATATATATATAAACTTAATCATCGTTCCTTGACATGAAGTCATTTTTTGTTGTCAAACTGGCCAACTGGTAAAAATAAACCAGGTGTAGATTGTTGTATTTGATAAGTGTATAAGATTATAAAAGCAGTGTGTGTTTACATAAGAAAATTGCTTATCACATTCGTGTGGATTTTGTCATTTCATGGATGAAGGAGGTATTGTAACCAGGTCAGATTTTCTTTTAGTCCACCATTCCTATTCAGACAATTTGGATTCCATTTGATATGAGGTGCTTCTGATATTAGACGGTATTTGTGATTTCTGAAATTTTTCTGGATTATTTCAATATTGAAAATCAAAACAAATGATTCAGCGAAGAGACTCTTTTCAACGAATTTATCATCAAGCTGTACAATCGTATATATATGGTTTTTAAGAAGTTATATCCGGTGAGGGAATTGAAACATAGGTGTGAATGCATGAAATAATAATAATATGAAGTGCAATTAAAACTAAAATGTTTGTGATTATAATCGTAGTTAAAGGTCAAGTGGCAAAGCAAATTAATGTCATATATAGAATAATTCATGGGATGGATAGAACTTGAAAAAGGTGTGCAATTATAAGATTAGTAGACAAATCGAAAAAATAAAAACGTTACGTAATATTGTGTGAAATTTAATAGCATAGAATTTAATGTTGCATAGAATTCAATATTGTCAAAATACAATTTTGTGTCCTGATTCCATTGCGTGTAGACGAGCTATGGCTGATGGTTTTTCAAGCTTTTCTAGTTCAACTGGATTTCTCAGTGGTTGAACAGATGCTCTACGGTGTTCATTTCTTCTGACTTTGATTTCTCTCTGGTGATGTTTGTCCTATGTATATTGCATCACATTCCAAGCATTTTATTTTATAGACATAACTAGATAGAGAATGCTCAGCGATTTGGTCTTTTATGTGGACAAGGTTGGTTTGTAGTGTGTGAGTCTTATGTTTTGAAGAAAACTCTGATGTCGAGCTCTTCTGATATCGTCTCAAGTCTCTGTTCTATATGGAATGACAACTGTTGAGGTCCATGTTTTCGGAATTCGTTTTCGACCATATTTAACGTCATTGTTGATATTGTTGATGAAGTCCTTTGAGTAGTTATTTTGCTTGAGAGTCTCAGTAATGTTTGATATTTCGTCTTCTTTTTCTTTTTCATCCGTTATCAAAGAGTGTGACCAATTAAGAATACTTGAAACAGCTGAAACCTTTCCTCTGGTGGGGTGTGATGATCTGAAGTCTAAATATTTGTTGGAGTGGGTTTTGTTCCTGAATATAGATATACTAAAATGTCCATTTTCCCTTCTCTTAACTAGGCAGTCTAGAAATGGTAGTTCACCGATATCAGATTCTGCTTCCGAAGTGAATTGGAATCTGGGAGATACACAGTTTATTTTCTCCAAGAATGAACTGTGTAGACCTCGTTTTAGCACTACAAAAGTATCATCTACATATCTCGACCATATTTTAGGAGTGAGTATGCTTGAAAAGATGTTATCTTCGAATCTATTCATAAAAGGGTCAGTGACTGTTGGGGAAACTGGTGAACCCATAGGAACACAATTTGTCGGTCTATATAAATTCCCTTTAAAATAATTATTTTCTAGACAGAATTTCAAGCTCTTAATTATTTCATTGGTGTCCAGTGGACACTTTTGTGATAGTTTTGTATTTGATTCTAGTAAACTGGAAATGATATTGAATTGATATTTAATATCTATATATTCATGGAGAATGACGAATTTACTTTTCAAGTTGGACAACGTACTTTCAATGGTTCTCTAACTGATATCAATCCGTGATCCAACTTCAGAGAAATCAAATTCCTACAAACTAAGTCATCAGAATTGATTTTTGCGATTGCTACAATTTACTAAAAAAATACAACTGAACAAATAAACATGCATATATTACATTACTGCAAAACCTGTTATTCTCTCTCTCTGTTTTCGACACGGAACTTCGCACATATGTGTGGCAGTTCAAGTCGCCACACTCCATTTAGCACACAAAGCAAGAGAAGAAAGTAGGAGAAATGCATAATATAGACAGTAAACAGAGGTGTGAGACAAAGGTATAGTAATAACGAAGAACGAAACCTGTTATCAAAATTGTCTATTAATAATTAAGTCTTAGTGTATATCTAAGCAACTTCAGCTGCACCATAAGAATACAATTTGGAATAATACATCGGATGTTCAAGTTATCTAATCATAGTAATGACTGTCAATTAGGGGAGCATACAATTTAATATGGAGCCGTAAGATGTGAACACTGTCACTTGTAATTTTGAAAATATCTTCCGTTCTTTTTGCCACACAATAAGGTATTAAGAACTATAGAAATTATTACATAACGCTAGCAGAAATAAAGTAATTTTAATAATTACTACAGTTAACAAGCGAGTCACTTACTTGAATCAATAAATCAGATTGAGTTTTCTGTGGGCATTTACCAATTACTTTTTCAGCTTCTTCTACTGGTATAGCTGCAACATATTGTAAAGAGGATTGTATGTCTGTATCTAATGTGAATTTTTCATTTGTTGTAGGAGAAAGTATAGCAATTTTAGCAGTGATTTGCTTTTGTTCACCATGTCTTAAAGTATCTTTTATAAGCGTCTTTATAGTGTTAATAATAATGAAGAAAAAGATAAAAATGCAGTGGTAATAGTTTCCATAACAAGACTAGTAGAATTCATACCGACAAGGGATTCATTATTATTTATCATTTAATTAAAAATAGAATGTATAAACCTGAAAAATATTCTTGACAATTACTAGCGTTTAATGAACTCTAGGAGGTTATTTATTTCTTAATTCAATTTTGATTTTTCCCGTTTGCTGTGATTGGACCGAAGTGTTTGACCTCTGTTAACATGTCGGCTCCTTGTATGGATGCTTCGATGATAAGTGAGGATCAATTTGAAGTAGTTTGATGGATGGAGACTAGCAGTGGAATTCAGGATGCGGATTTCCTGTTATCTGGGACTTGTCACTGAATGTACCTACATTACTCAGGTAGGGTATTAGATAAGCTAGATTGTTTTGTTCAATTGGCTCCACAGGATCCTTTAACCCACAAAGCTTATTTCTTTCCATATAAAGAAGGAACTTCAGAAAGCTTACGGAGAATTCTTTACAAGGCTGGAATAAAAGTGGCCGGCATTCAAACCCACAAACTCAATTAGAAACAAGCTTCGTGGATTAAAAGATCCTATGGAGCCGATAAAACAAAATAATTTAATTTGTCTAATACCTTGCAATGATTGTCAGGTCAAATACATAGGTTAAAGTGGTAGAACTGGTACAGTCGGACTAGATGAGCATAAAAACCTAGCAAAATCTAGACTAGTTGACCAAAATAAGATAAGAAATCTGGAGAATAGTTCATCTATTCCACTCACTACATGCAATTACACACAGACATACAATGGGATGGGATAAGGTGACAGTTTTAAAATCTAATGTTATGGCAGGGTGGAGAGAAGCTTCATTAATCGAACCAACTGCAAACATGTGTAATAGGAATGATTCAAAACCCGTCCAAGATATCTGGAATATTCTACTACCCCTACGACAACGAATAGGAAAGAATAAAGGAAATTATAAAGTGAAGGTTTTGAAGTCGTGTGACTATAACTGATATGATTATGAACAATAAACTGTATTCGAAACGTCATCCAGTAAATACTACTGTTTCACTGTGTGATATATCTAATAAACAAATTATTATCGAATTACATACTACCACAGTGCCAAAGTTTTACACATATATTAATATGTTGAACTTGTCTATTTTCTGATCATCCTTTTAGAATAGTCTTTTCTTGATAAAAAGGAGTAAATATTCAGTTATGTAATAAATAGGATTTAAGGAAACCAAGGCTGTAACATGAGTTGAACCAGTTGCTTCCAGGCTGTCTCCCCAGGTGCCTGGTAAATAAGCTATGGATTAAAGCTATTTGTTCAAACCTCAGTTTCAAGTATTGCTTAAGAAATACACTGAGAGGTTGTAATGTATGTTTAGTAGTTTCGAGTATCTCAAACTACACCTAACCATAAGGAAGTATTAGTCAAAATCCCTATGAATATAAAAGGAATTTCACACAGGAGAATCAAGTAAGCTAACTAAAGGTAAATTCCCTGTAAGTTTCATGAAAGATAAAATCAAGTTAATAACCGTGGTAAAACAAAAAATATGTGTACTACCTTGTAATTCTATCGATTGAAATTTTTGTGAATGAACGTTGGTAGTTTGAATACTATTGTAAGATAAATGTCAGAAGAATGCTGACTAACTGTTATAATAACCGTAAACAACATGGGAGAAAAAGCTAATAATAATAACAGTAATAAGAACAACATAAACCAAGACTGCAGTTGTACGTGTCTAGCGTACCAATAGTACAAAGAATGATGATTGAATATTGGCATATAAATCTTTATGCACTGTAATTCTTATTGTAGAGGGGTATATCTTAAGACAATTACTGACAGTGATGTCTTCACTAAATCCACCATGTTTTTTTAGCTTTAAGCAACTGAAGCTTTGAAAATAACATTTCATTTCAACATTTGTTTCATAACTTTGTAAAATTGCATTATTTCATTTATGAAGAAAAAGATAAAAGCTATGGAAAGCTGAAATAATGATTACTGAGCCTCGATGGCATAACTATCAACAGTGTTCTGTATTAAAAAGTGATACAAATACCTAATAATCATTGTAGTGGATTGACAAAATTCACTTCTGATTTCGCTACCCATGAGTAGTATTTAGATTTATGCAAAGTATCTTGTGTATTTATAAATCGGAAATAAATTCATCTTCTGGGATGAAGTTAGTATGAGCAATAAAAACAGAATTCAACAGACTGAACGACCTTTTTTGAAGTATCTGAAACATAAGGAGTATTAGTGTTGCATGAAGACAAAACCCAGGGGATAACTGCTTGAGGCTGACCAGTCTGAGATGGTTTTAAGTGTTTTATCCGTACTGAGATCTTGCCAACAACTATGAACATCTTCACTGTAGATCGGGATATATGGTTTCTTGGGTGGCTATTTTCTAATCCCCCGCCTTACAAAGAACACAGAGGCAGCATACCCAGTCATCCAAAGGTAAAATCTCACTGTCGTTACATTCCCATTTACCGGCAGTATAACATCGTCCACAGACCTCTCAGTATAGTGCAAGTGACCTACACTATGATGGTAACTGCTCTCAGTCTAACCACTATCCAAACGACGTTCCTGACGTGACAGGATCCGCAGTTACACTACTTCTAGCCAGTGTAGCTCGTCGGGTCACTGCAATATACACACCTGACTGCCGCATTTAGCTAGTGGCTTTAGGTCGGAGGATTCAGTAGAGCAATCCTCATCACTATATTAAACCCAGTACAGGCCACTATGACGCAATCATAGTTAACATAAAACTGATCATTTACAATAAAGTTAGATAACGAAGAAATAAGTTATACAGCGAAGTTGAATCCTAACTCAGTGTAAGTGACCAGCTTACAAAGCAAAAAAGAAACTCTGGTTAACTTTCTTCTAACATTTGAGTAAGATGTTCAACAATGATTTTAGGATAGGTGTCGACAAGTAGGTTTTTATTGCAAATGAAATCAGGACATTTACATAAGGTTTTAACATTATACTTTCATAATTCTTTTTTCATCCGTCACTCTGCAGTTCACAAGTTCATTTTTTAAAGGTTATTTTGTTTTTAAGACTTCCACTGAATAAAGTAACATCTATCGCATGCATGCATGAATGCATAATGACTATTTGGTAGCGAAAGCATAGAAAATGTTGAACCTATTCCAATAAATTTTAAGGTGTAATATATGCAAAATAAGTAGATGCAAATGTAACAGTTCATGTCAGTTTCGAAAATTGTAAATTTGTGCCTATCCTGCAAATTTATAACAAAATTTCTCTAGAACTTGTTTCACTTTACTAGACTAACTTTCCGCAAAACCAAAGTTGATGCCATGAATTCGCCTCACGCATGAAGTGCAAGTATCAGAATAAACTGACAGTATACACTACCAAAAGCATAATCAATTAGTCATTATCCTATTCAGACTGATTTACTCATCCATTCAGTCTACACCGAACAAACGACTTGATACATCAAATTAATTACTACCTGGTGTACAATCAAAGTATCCATTACAGTCCTACAGGAGGTTCAGATGCGACCTCGAATAGTTCAGTGGTAATGTCTCTGACTGCAGTACTGTGTGACCCGAGTTTGAATCTCACAAGGGACATAAATTCTTTCAAGATTACTACAGATATACCTTGCTGGAGAGTGCCAACAAGCACGAAACCTAGGTCCAAGGCTTCCTGTCCACTGCCTCTAACCACTCAAAGAAATGTGATCTTATCTGAGAATTTGAAGCCTGAATAAATATTACGACTTTATTTAATTTTGACCTTTTATGATAACTTCCATGTAAAGATGTATGACAGACACATGTATGATCAGAGTGCCCAAAATGAGTTGTACACATTTCATGTCTTCTTACTGTTTTGTCGAAATTAACAAACACAGAACTAATTCCTCACTTTTTGTTTCACTATTTACTCAAAAGAAAAAATAATTGATTTCAGAGAGATGATGGATTCTGTATGAGTACCTTCACAAGATGGTCTCAGTACATACAGAAAATACACAATGTATAGCCTTATTGCACTTGTTTGCACCACGTTTTAAAGCAAACAATAAATAATTAAAGACTTAATAGTGTGAAATATTCCCATATCATGAATTAAAAGTCAATTTGAACGAAGAATATTCTTTCCAATAAATTGTCTTCAGGTTTTATACTATTCGGATTTATTACTAGTGATATTTGTGCATCGGTGGCATAGCGGTTAGGACGCTCGCCGACCATGCACATGGTCCGGGGTTCGATGCCCGGCCGATGCACTCCTTTACCTCGCTAAACCAGAAATAATGCTGGTGAATAGGAAAGGTTGGGCATGAGGCTAGCAACCCCATCCTGTAAAATAAACACTGCTACAGAAACTTCAAGCCACAAGCTTGAAGCCCTATGTTCCACTGAGGAACGTGAAGGAAAAAAACTAGTGATATTGTCTTTTTTCAAAATATGCCTCCACCTGTTTCACTTCACATATTGATTATTTCATGATGAAATATTCACTTCATACTGTTTTGTGCTAACCACTCACCTGACACTCCACATGGTATGAATCTGTTATGACTAATCACCATCATCGTCTCTCATTTCCCAATATTACGTAATTGAATTGAACCCAGCACGCTTGTCACACGAATACTATTTTTATTTTGTCACCCTATAACTAATCTTATCATTCTACGTAAAAATGTATCCTCCGCATAACTGGCCATTATTGTAACTATAGAGATTAAGTTTTTTTTTTAACTATAAGGACCTCAAGAGAATTTACTGAAAAAAAATATCTTTCCGTTCAGATTGACTTTTAAATAAATAAAGCAGAGTAATCTACCTGAAAAACAGCCTTGTAAACTGTTTCCATTGAATTGTTGTAGGAGATTTTTGCAGTATTTATAATGTTCTGTATCCATTCTCTTCTGACTTCAGATTTTATTTTGTCAGATATGTTCTGTACTAGTTTCTCTTTTAAGTAGTCTAATAATTTCTCCAGGCAGTTTAAGTCGAATTCATCATGACTGCTTAGATATGGATCATTTTTAGGCCAAAATATATCATTCAATAGAGCTTTGAAGTCGTTTATGTTTATTTCAACTAATGTTTTAGGATAATGAAGATATAAATATGATGATTGATCACTGGAACTGTGGAAATTCGATTGAGAATTGAATTGTTCAGATGAAGGTGTTAAACTGCTTGACACATATGAACTTGAAGTTGTTTGTATTGTTGACTGTTGTGATGAGTGTTTGCTACTAGATAATTGGAGGACTGAAGCTAAATCAGACTTGGCTATGAAGAAAGAAATAATGAAAATATAAATTCAAATGTTGGTTTGTAGGGATTTGGTTGATTGGTTACAGGATATTCATCATGGGCTGACATTAGTTAGAGAACCATTGGGAAACCTGGGAGTACTCGACAGCTGTTTCGTCAGCCTAGTTTGGGACTCTTCAGCAGTATGCACCCATCGGGATTTGACCCTAGGACCTTCCGGTTACAAGGCAAACCACTGGGACCTGATCCAATGGCCCATGAATCCGGTGGGTGCGTACTGATGAAGAGTCGCAAACTAGGACGAAACAGCTGTCCAGTACTCCCAGGTTTTCCAATGGTTCTCTAACTAATGTCAGCTCATGATGAAAATATAAATTACTAATTACAATATAAAATAGCTTGTATCACTAAAAGTAACAGATTTTCTTGACATTTAGTATTTTTTTAAAATCCGAACAGGTGTTCTTCATCTGTATTCTTCAAAAGTTGGTTATATAGGCTGCACAAAGCGCAAACTTTCCAAACGCATTTCAGTACATTATCAAGTGGATAGTGCAAGTTAATCACTTCCTCAATCCTTCAAGATGCGATGAATTCCAGTCACATAGCTGCACCAGAATTCTTTTTATTTTGAAAAATGATCTATAATGGAAGACCAAATGATACAAGTGGTGTTAGATTGCGAAACTTCGTGAAGGCACTAGCGATTTTTCAATTTGTGTGAGGAATCTGTATGCAAAAAATTTGTTGAATCTTTCATTCTGCTATAATCTTGAACTCCTTCTTACTTGTTACAGCCTATTTTTAGTAGTTAATCTAATATTAACATCTATGCACGTCAATTCGTTTTCTTCAACTTTCTCATACTTGTCAAGTGGACACTCCAGAGATTTGCTTCTCATTTGATAACAACTTCTACTATGATGAGTTTTAAACGCTTAACTAGGTTACGTTTAAGATTCCTATGTGATTTTTTGCAGCTTTAAGAGACTACTTCTAGATAACTATGTTGAAGATGTTACTCTTGCATCGCCCACTATTCGGTAGCAGATTTTTGTACTTTTTACTAAATATAAATGTACAGTCTCTGAAGATCAGATGTTCGGTCAAAAATGTTTCTTCTCTGAGTTGTCCCTTAAGTTTTTCATGACTCAATAAATATTTTTGGTCACTCGACTGGGTTGTGAAACTCTAGTAATTGAAATGGATAGGACATATGTCATGCAGGCTTAGTTACTCCCTTCCCCAATGAGCAGCTTTAACTGGAATAAGAACACACGTTGGGGAATAAGTTAGGTCAGACGAAAAGGAAATGTTTGGTGACTCTCAAAATCAATTCCAAGTGGCTGTGTAAACAGGCAAGATGCCAAGATTTGACAAGGTGCTTGAGAGTGGAACTACTTACATTCATTTACTTTATTGTGGCTAATAAAAGGAGGTTTTGTCACTGAAGGCATGTAAATACTTGACGCTATGCACAACCAATATGCTTTGCTTCACAGGAAAAAACTTAATCAGTAGGTGAAGAAAGGCAGTATAAATTGACAATAAATAAACAGGTCGGGCGTGAGGACAAATACTCGCCGAAGACATTGCGAAATGGTTGCGCTATGTCGTGAATTGGCAGAAGTTAGGATTCATGGGCCATTGGATCGGGTCCCAGCGGCTAAAACGTATACGAACTCGCCTTGTAACCAGAAGGTCCTGGGTTCGAATCCCGGTGGGTGCGTACTGGTGAAGAGTCCCAAACTAGGACGAAACAGCTGTCCAGTACTCCCAGGTTTTCCAATGGTTCTCTAACTGATGTCAGCTCATGATGAAATCCTGTAATAAATAAACACTTTTCACAATTACTATTTGGATAAAGAGAAAAAATTGAGGGTATGAAAGACAAGTATCTATATGAGAAATATGGGTGCGTTATGATAGACAATAAATAAAAAAGCAGAAGTCTAATTTTCAATAGTTGATTTGTAAGGATTTGATTTATTTTTTCGAGTTAGACCACGGATTGATATCAGTTAGAGCATCATTTAAAACCAAGAAGTTCTGGACATCTGTTTCATCCTAGTTTGGGACTCACTCGCAGTACGCACCCATTGGAAGCTCTTGGGTTAGAAACCCAGTGGGTGCATACTGCGGACGAGTACTAAACTAAGCCGACAAAACAGCTGCCTAGTACTCCCTGGTTTTCAATGTTTCTCTAACTGAAAGTAGAATGCTGGATGTGAATCTTACAAAAAGAAGAGAGCTAGAAGTGTTAACTATATCATGCCAGATAAAACTGCTGTCTTTATCCACAAGGTCTCCATTTGGTCTTATTTGATGACTAAAATATAAGTTTCTTAGGTGAATAATCAATTTTTATTTTATTTACACTGCTTTTCCGCTAAACCATCTATGAATCATTTACTTCAGTTTTTTCTGCATTTCACTTGCCTCCCGGGTAGAACATAAGGTTTCAAGTTTTTGAAGTTTCAGAAGCAATGATGTCTGCTTTACAGGGTAGGGTTATAAGCTTTGCACTTGGCCTTCCTCCTCTTTCGGGCTTGCTGTAAGCTAGTAAACTCAGTGAGGTTTAAGAATGTGTCAGCCAAGAATGAAACCTCAACCGTGTGCTTGGTTAGCCAGCATTCTACCAGTGAACAACAGGCGCACTGGATACTTTTACTAGCAGGATAAAAAATAAGGATCTCATTAGAAAACTGATTCACAAAATTTGTTTGAACAAGCAGTGAATGTCAACTCAACAACAGATACAAACTGTTAGTACGGATCCTAGTATACTTAAAATTATTTCAGTACTTTATTCAGCTGTCTACTTCAGATTTTTTATAAAGAAACTCAGATTATGAATTAGCCTGTGGAAATTAAACTACTAGCATTGTAACAGCCAAAGACGTGAAAATTCGGTAACGGGATTATTTACTGGCAACTTGATTCACAGATATAGACATAATTATCATTATTATTGTTTCCTTTAATTCCTAGAGGAACATAGGGCTTCAGCCATGCGTCTCCATTGCTTTCGGTTCTCTGTTAGATTCTTCACCTGGCTCCATGTCTGCCAACACGCTTTCATCTCCTCTTCACATGACCTCCTCCAAGTCACCCATCCTCGCACTGACGACTAACTCGCCGCTTCCCTTCCGGGTTCCACTCGAGCAATGGCTTGTCTTGTGATGTCACTCGCTTGATGGTTTGTTTCCTCAGAGTATGGCCAGCCAATCCATCTCCATTTCTTCCTGCCTATTTGTTTCACAATCGGTTCCTGCTGGGTTGGTTCGCTCATTTCCAGAGATCTCTGTTGCTGATCTTTTCTGGCTGGCCATCTCATCTTGGGTATTAAGCGAAGACAACTGTTAATGAAGGTCTGTAGTTTGTTTGAGATGCTCTTTATGACGCGCAGTGCAAGTCTCTGATTCGTATAGTAAGTAGCACTGACTTCACGTTGGAGTTGAAAATCCGGATCTTATTTTTGATGCTGAGTGCTTTTGACCTCCACACAGACTTGAGAGTAGTGAAAGCTTGTCTTGCTTTTCCGATCCTTGCTTTGATATCCTCGTCAGTTCCGCCTGTAGTTGAAACGATGCTTCCCAGGTCGGTTGGTGAAGGAGGTTGTTTCTTTCAGGTTCCTTCCATTTATGCTGATTGTTGTCTGTTGTTGTTGTTGCTGTTAGTGGTGTTGCCCAGGAATCTTCATCACCTCTGTTTTCTCTATGTTCACCTATGCCTGCACATATTTTCGGTATTACGCTGCTTTGCCTTCCGTACCATACTTTTTCGTCTTCCTCTCATATGCTTTCCATGTTGTCTTACAAGCATCGTTCATTAAATCCATCTCTCTGCTATTAGACATACTTACAGCCGATTTACATACTTATATTTGTATCTATATACCACTTATAAATCTTGTTAGTAGCACACGTTACAGTATCACCCTTAAAAAACCTCAAACCAGATTACTAGATTCATTGTTGGAATTATTTTATTGCAGATACAGTAAAATTTTCATAGATATAAGTTATTTCAAAATTAATTAAATTTTTTTTGAATGACAGCTGTATACATTTGGTGTTGATATGTGGAAAATACCCCATGAAACATGCATTTTTAGTCAGTTGCTGTAGCTCATCCCCGTTTATTTACATTTCATTGTCTGGTTAGGATAAATAACCCATTTAAATTATAAATTAATTTGCAGTCATTATTTACATTAATTGATAGGTGCATAATTGTGGTAATATTTGCAACATAAAATCAAAACGACTACTCGAAAAATGACCAGAATTAAAAATTGATCACCTGGAGTTACTTTTTATTTACAAGTCTATTTGTAGTAAATTAATTTATTGCGTAATGCCATAATGCTTGTAAACTTGATTCAACAAACATTCCCAGTAATTCACAATAGGAAGCTCAGCGAAGCTATGAGGGGTAAATATGAATAAGACAAATCTATTTACTATCACTGATGATATTTCTGATTATGATGAACTGGATCATGCAATAAACCGTGAGATGGCCATACATTGGACCAATGAAAAGATCCTACAAGATCAGAATTTCCCGGGTGATTCAAGTCTTATATTGCACAAACCTGAAGGTCTGCAACAGGATTCACCATCTGTACATAGCTGAAGCATTAGCTATTCGAGATCTAAAACCGGACCTCTGCATACAAAAGAGATACATACATTCTCTTGCCTTACCATGGCTAGAGTAAAGTTCTTATCACAATTTTGCTTCTTTCCTTTATTATGTAAGTTCACTATTATTACCATTATTATTTTATTTTATTAATACTCTTATTATCATTTTGTCCCCATCATCCATATTTTATTACCACTCTATTACTGTTTATTAATAACATTGTTTTTCATACATATTTTATACAAAAACACTTTATAGCCTTTCCACTAGTTCCTGTCCATTTTACACGAGATTATTGATTATTCACTATCTCACACTTATTACGTCATGCCAACTTCTGTCTCCTTTCTAACTTACAATTAGTCATCCCTTCTTACACCTTACATTATGTAATACAATTTTCCAAGGACAAAATTTACCAGTATCTGACTGGTCTAAAGATTTCTTTGTTAATTATAATTACGATTGTACAGCTCATGAAAATGAATCGTCGAAAAGAAAATTTTCTTCGCTGTTTGTGCCTTTCTCTTATGACTCAATATGGGAATATTTCGTTCAAAAATCAACAAGTTGGCAAGAGATGCAGTGAAGACAAGAAGGGCTTCAGGCGAACATAAGGAAAACAGAGGTGGTAAAGTTACTCGATGAACGATAACAGCTGCCAGTTATAACCAGGGAGGGAAATCTAAATCCTGTCACCTACCCGGGTAGCACTGCTTCAACTAAAGGTGGCATAAATGTGAACGTCGAAGCCAGTATCAAGAAAGCAAGACAAGTGTTCCTTTACTCAGAGATCAGTTTAGAGGTCTACAGCACTCAGCATAAAAAACGAGATCCAAATTTTCAAAACAAACATCAGGTCAGTGCTTCAATATGCTTCAGAGACTTGACAAACGCATCACAATAAGCACTTTCAATCACCTGCAGACTTTCATTGACAGCTGTCTTCTTTGATACTGAAGATCAACTGACCGGCAGAAAAAAATAAGCAGCAAGGAACTCTGGCGGTCAGTGAATCAACCAAGAACCTACTGCAGAAAGCAATATAGATGGACTGGACATATGCTGTGGAGACATTCAAGTGACTCTTTGGATGTGAGTCTGAAGACGACATAAAAAAGATCATAGGAGGAGGAAATGAAAGCTTGCCGACAGTCGTGGAGTCAGTTGAAGGCGATGTAGAAAACTGAGTTGAATGGGTGATGTGCCGCTGAACTTTATGTCTCAAATGAAACGAGAGGAAGGAGGAATAATAAATAGTTACAGAAACACATGTAGCTTCCTAATTTTAATTTTTTTTAATTTTTAATTCTATCACAGAAATCCTCTGCTTACTCTCTGATAACCCTTCATTAAATGAATTTTAATAAACAGGATGATAACTCCTCCAACACAACTCCAAATGCTGTTGGATATGTGTATCTTACGGATAAACGATACTGAAACTGTAATATAAATGTTCTGTAAAGAAAATTACCGTGTTTTAAATGTGCTTCATAAAATCCATCTTCATAATCTAATAAATAATTTTCAAATGCTTTCAGGTTTAACATTCCAGAAAAATTTTGACTCATTGTATAGAATATTTTTTCCATTAGTTGATCCTTTCGCAGTTTTGCCATTTTTTGGAAATGCTGAAAATGTATAGAGTTGCAGTGTTTAATGCATGCTGTAATGATAAGAATACATTATATCAGAGTTTCATAAAATACTGCACGATATTATATAACGGATGAATATTGCTCAACATTTTGAAATAATGAGATCTAGTGACGCGAATTAATAAATTCAGCTAAACCATCACAGCGACTCACAATATTATATTTATTCAGTTAATAATTGCATTCACAGTCAGCCGGAATGGACTGGCGTTCATCCAGGAGTTGCAAGGAACTAGTAGAAACCCAGTGGTTTTTAGCCGAGCATTCTTTCAAGCCACGAGCGTCTACACCCACCACTTGCATGGCACCTTGCAGATGAAGCCAATATTCATCCATACTACTTGCGGGTTGCTGGCAGGCATTGACTGTAACTCATTCTGCTATTTCAAAGAGGTAGCAGGTACTATCAGTTTGCTCACATCAGCGTGTAGATGACGTCGTTTATAAACCCCACCAAGTTGCGAGACAAATCTGGCACGGACTAACGCATGATTGGAGATCAGACATATGTCCCAGAAGAAGCGGAAGTCTTGTATGCATCCTGGCCACCGGAAACTGACAGCAGTGTGATTAATAATAATAGCTTTATTGCAGACTTGATTATCAGAAAGAGGACGCCAGGTAGCGCTACAGCGATGGCTGTTCCAGAAATTGGTGTTGGCTAGAAACAGGTTGTGATCTGCTCAAAGCTGCAGAAAACGGTCCCATTATCTGACCTGCAACCATGTAAACCCCACTAACCACCTAGACGATTCTCTTCTGAGCCTAGACGCCCGACCTGTGCATTCAAGTCCCCATGGAACTGTACACAAAGTGAAACAATTCCAGTGGCCTCACCCCATACAGCATACACAATGGTAGAAAACAAAAAAGAGAAAAGAAACTACATAAGCGTCAGTGCCACAGAGGTAGAATGCTGGCCAACCACGCAGGTGGTCCGGGGTTCGATCCCCGGCCGACGCACTCCCCAACCTCGCTAAGCTAATAGGACTGGTAAAGAGGGAAGGTTGTACATGGGGATAGCAACCCCATCCCGTAAAAATAATGAACCTCACTGCTACCGGAACTCTAGAGATCTTAGTTGAAGGCCTATTTCCACTGGAAACGTACAGGAATTCTAAAAAAAGTTCATAAAGAGTGGATGGATACTGGAAAGAATTTTGACCCATGTCATCAACAATTTATTAAATAAATTTATGAATTAATTCCACTGGTTCTTAGCTTCTCGAGGATCCCAACTGGTCCGTCTACACCTCCCAACGTGGCTGACTCAGATCAACAATCAAAAACTTCATGAACTGGTGCTACTTTCTGATTTGACTATACCTAACTGTTTTCTAGCCTAATCCTATCTCAGCTAACATTGCTTGACGGGGAGGACTATGGCTCATTGTGAGTGACACATGTCCTAGCCATCTCAGTCGAATATTATATTCATTCAATTGAACAAAGCAATCACGGAATGTAAAAAACAATAATATTCTACTTCTACAATGACCACTAATGAAACAGTATATGTGAATTGTTGTCAATGAATAAAACAGTTTTATATATATATATATATATATATATATATATATATATATGAGCATCACACTGGTTAGGTGATAAGGCTTTTCAAAATCTACTTAATTGACCTGAAAGGAAGTTTGGATTAAGAGTCTCTTTTTCATAGAAACAAATGGCATGTACGAATTGTGAAATGTTGCATCGCTGTTCACCAGTTATATAACGTTTTTCAACAACCAGCTGACATGAATTTACACAAAAACATTTGTATTAAGCGTATCATAAAATTATTATTTACTTGTTGTTTTCTTTCGTCACGTTCTTCAGTTGTTTCGGTATACTTATGAAAAACTTTCAAATATTGGTGCAGAATATTTATTGGGACATTTTCTGGTATGAAAAATTCCATAAGGCTGATAAATTGACTTTGTGTCAAACTATTCATTTCGATTGGGCGATCTGATAAAGTTTCTATGTAAAACAAAATATAGAATAGGATGCTTTGGAATAGGTGTCATAAATTGGTTACATTAAAAACAGTTCAATAAAGGGGTAAATTTTTTAAAATAAATATCTTTTGAACATATAGATTGGGCTTGAGTTTTGGGTTCGTCAGTGCCTCAGCTATTCTTAGATGTCTTGATTTCACTCCCTTTGATAGGTTTGATCGGATCTTGAATATGATTTTGAAGGACTTTTTATATGGAGCTGAATGTCCAGAATTCACCAGATGTTCTGTTATCGAACTGTATACCCCTTTGCGTTCTCCCTTTGCTAACTATGGTGGATAGTGTTCCCGAGCGCGTTTTACAAGCGGACGCATCGTATGGCCGTACATTATCCAGCATAGTTATCAAAGGGAGAACGCAAAGGGGTATACAGTTCGAAAACAGAACATCTGGTGAATTCTGGACATTCAGCTCCATATAAAAAGTCCTTCAAAATCATATTCAAGATCCGATCAAACCTATCAAAGGGAGTGAAATGAAGACACTTAAGAATTGCTGAGGCACTGGCGATCCAAAAAATAAATATCTCTTTGAAAATGTTGTATCTCATTGTTACCTATGTACACTTTTTAATCTGATCTCTGGGATCATACATGGACTATAAATGCCCGATTCCCTCGAACACATGTTTCCACCTCCAGTAGTTACTCAGTATCATGCTGAACACAAGGAAGTTTGCCAACTAAAACCCTAACTCAAAGAAGGATGTTTCAACAAAATAGCTAATATGACAAAACCAAAGACTCTGAAAGAACGAAGAGGGGGGAATTGAAACTTGGTTGCAATTTCACTGATGAAGAACCGAAATAAGTGGTATTTGTTCTCAAACCAAATTTGCTTTATTTCAAATTCTTCATTCAAGTATAATTACTGAATACTAATAAATGATTAATGAAAATTATGGAAGTGAACACGCATATAACTGTGGAGCAGTAAACTGCGACAAAAAAGGTAAATCTGTTGCGTTCAAGTTTTGACTGATTAATTGATACTACGCCCATGAATTTTCTCATACGGCGGACTGTATGATGTAATTACCATATTTCCCTAATGTATTTTAAGAGTTTCTCTTCCTCAAACAGATATGCAAGCCAGCTATTAGTAGATTATACGTGTGACAGATTAAGGAGGAATGATTAATGTTACTTATAATGAAAGAACTCTATCTGTGAAGTTATAAAAGTGATCAGAGCTATGGATACCAAATGAAATTAATACTTTGCCAGAATGTTTATATGCTGTACAGCAAATATTTTAAACTACTAGATTTTATAAATGCATGGTGATATTTACTACTGACTGATATGAGTCGATGAATACCACTCATATCAATCGGTAGTGCTTGCTGGCCAGATTGGGATGATCTAAACGCAATTCAGAATTCGAGTGGTTTGAACTGACTAGATTCTCTGGTATCATATTTTGTAATTACTGTATTCTGTATTGCTTAAATGATGTCTTCACAATTAAAAAGATAGAGTGTCATTTCCCCTCTCTCAGTAGCCAATGTTAACATTCTGAGAAGAACTTTTTATGCATATAGTTGAGGAATACAGAAGTGACAGAAAAGAGTTGTGATCAAAATGTCAAAAATATTGACTAGACACCTGGTAAAATTGTGTGTCTATACTAAATGACTTAGATTTTCAACACTAGAATTGTAGGAAGATACTGAAGTTAAAAAACAGAGGAAACTAGGTAATGATATGTAGTCAAATATGTTACATGTTTATAGTGAGACTGGATCGTGGTCAGCCTGGATATTTTAGAGCATGCCTATGTCCCTGTCCAGGAAATATCTTTTTATGGTTATCTTCAATCACACAACGCCATTGGCCTTATATATATATTTTTTTTTTCTTGGTATGCTTACACTTCTTTTATGGACACTGTTAAATATACCTTCAATCTCACGTCGTTGTGTGTTCTGGCTTAAACAGTGTGGTCTGGAGAAATGGTTAGCTGTAGTATATTGTTGTTGGCGTAGTCAAGTTGTATCCGTGATCAGCACGTCTTTGTCCAGCTGAGCATCGCTATTCAATTAACTCAACGTATTCCAAAACATAATAGTTGGGTAGATTAATTAATTAATTTACTATCACAACCATCTGATGAAAGTATCCGCGTACATTCATATGTTTCGGAGTAGTTTTTAGTTGAGTATTTCTATAGAACAGCTAATAAACGAAGTGTTAATGATTCATTTCAGTAGAAATAGTTAAAGTCACATATGTGGTACTATTTTAAGATCACTGGACTTCAGTTTGGTAATGTAGTTCTCATTCAGCTTTATAACATCAAAAAAGTACGAAAATAAAACTGATAAGAATGGAGGAGACTTAAAAAACTGTTATATAGGACTGGTCTGCGAGAGGACTTATTTACATTATTTGAATGTCTGAGAGCTCATCTGCTTGCCAGCCTCAACTAGAAATAACTTTCATATATGTTGTGTGGCCACCAATTCTTGGCCACACAAATTGCTGACTGCTAAGCCTCACCCAACTCAATCTGATGAACAAGCTGCCCCTAACACAGTTACAACTAATACTTACGACTGTTCAAAGATGTATTCAGTTGACGGTAGTATTGGTAGAACATAGAGATACACTATCACAACACAACCGAACAACCATTCTCTTGTAGCTTTACACGCAATTGTGTTATGTGTCTTCTCTGATATCCATCAGTAGAAATAAACAAATTTGTCCTTGAATGTAAAATGACTGAAGTTCAATTGAATTCATGAATTTCTTTCGTCCCTTACACCAGTAAATGTTCATTATCTACAACAAGTTATCGAGTTTTCCTTTAGAAAAGTGAATAACAATAACAATTACATGGCTATTGATTTCAACACTCTGTAGAAACTCTAAGTAACAGGTGCCGACTCTGAATAATGAATAACATCAGTAAATTATTTAATTTAAGAAGAATTTACAGTTTTCAATAAACTTCATCGCTGATACCAGCAGAATCTTAATCATCAGATAGATATTCTTTTAGAAAATACCACCTAACATTTGAGTGTAACTCACTTTCTTCTGTTTATATTAAGTGAAACCATTCCATCAACTATTGACATGTATCATGCAACTTTCCTACTACTTACCTTCAATTTTACACTGAACTTGATTTATATAAATATCATCTAACTGACGAGATCCTAGTTGACTGAATTTGTTCATATTTTCTTGGAGGATTTCATCAGCTGAATTATTTATCTCATTGTCTATTGAAATTTCCTTTCTTTCCTCTGCATTATTATCATTAACAGATTTTGATGTTGGTAAGGTTTCTATTGATTCTTTTTTTGCAGTCATTTCTTTTGATGGTAATCTTAAGTGATATTCCCTTGTAACCCCTAAAATTAAAAGTCAAATAGACCAGAGAACTACTGACACACGAAACATTTGAAGTTCTTCATAAGCTTAATGTTCATTTTTTTCATTTTAAAAATGACAATTAAATAACTGTTCCAATCGCTGTTCTGTTCCCAACTTAACACATCTATGACTTTAAGTTAGATAATAAACTAACATCAGGAAGAGAACCGCTGAAAACTAGGAAGTAATGAATAGCTGTTTCGTCCTAATTTGGGGCTCTTCATCAGTAGACACCCATAACCCCATAGTGGATCAAACCCATGGACTTTTGGTTATAAGGTACGCCTGTTGACCGCTTAGCCACTGAGATGGAATCCAGCGGCCAATGAATTCTAACTTTTGATAATTTACAATATTATTTATTAGTAAAACACAGCATTGTATTAAATAGCTGTTTAGTATGAAAAGCTTACTCAGCTAATTCAATATATGTTTTATACACTGAACAATAATATCATATGAAACTTGGAATAATCATTACAATTAAAAGTGGTTAATTAGATTAGATATTGTACATGAATTACGCATATTTCAATATGATATTCACAATCTCTGTTATTTACATGAATTAGGTCATTCAACATGAAGTACATTTACGTTGTCTTTGCTAATTTTAACATTTTAAATACCTTCATTAACTTCTACTTTCGCTGAGATTTATCCAAGTATAATTTCCATGTATATCTTTTTTAACTTGAATTCCAATGTTTTCAGAACCATTCTGTGGGATGTTGATCACAGATGATATAAATTCTAATCTATCTGTTTTCCTGTCTTGCTGCATTTATATTTATCCAGTATAACATTCTTCCCTTTCTGCTGTCTTTTTTTCTGTATAATATTTTGAATCATGGCAGGCCAGGCTAGTGCAATTCTGTGTGTTTAGTTTTGCAGCTACCACAGTCTCTTACATTTTCCTACCCTTTTTCACTTATACACAAGTACTGCAGGCTTCAGATGCTTACAACGATTTTTATAGGATATTTCTTAGGAAGTAACACATTCATGGAAAACTTAGACTTATTTATAGTATTATACAGAGCTTCTAGTTATTATTATTATTACATAAATTTGTAGGAGACTTATTATTATTGTTGTTCCCTTGGGTTCCTAGTGGAACATAGGGCTTCAACTGCACGTCTGCACTTGTTTCTGTCTTCTACTGTGCTTTTCACTTGCATCCATATTAGTCCATACTGTTTCAACACTTCTGCACACGATCTCCTCCATGTCACCCTTGGACGTCCCACTCGCCGCTTTCCCTTCGGGTTCCACTCGAGCACTGGCCTGACGCGTGATGTCACCCAGTGGCCTCCTCAGCGAGTGTCCAATCCTTCTCACATTCTCCTGCATATTTGTTGAGCGACTGGTTCTTGTTTTGTTTGTTCCCATAGTTTCTTGTTGGTGATTCTTTCCGGCCATTTGATCGTCAGTATAGAGCCAGCGAAGACAGTTAGTTGTTGATAATGGTCTGCAACGTGTTGGAAATATCCTTTGTTACCCGCCAAGTTTCTGATCCGTATAGAAGAACTGACTGACTTGACTTTTGTATTGTTTGTAGGAGACTGGTTACACGATAACTTGTAAGGAACTCTAGACCCTTTAAGTGTCTTAAAACCGTACTTCAAATAATGTTCGTTCTACATTGCTTCAATGAAATAGTATATTTTGTGAGGCGATGAGTGTTTGACTAGAATTTAGAAATAAAATAGCTGGCAGTTAGTGAAAAAGTAGAACCTGTGAAACTAATGGATAGTTTAAATATGGCACACATAGTATACATCGCTTTCATATCTTAATCGAAGTACATCAAGGATGACGTTAATTAGGACACAATAGCTTTTAATTATTGGTTATCCATAATTAATCCTTCGAGATCAGAATGAAGTCATTTAATTTTTGTTATGTATCGTGTATTACCGAAATTTCTTCGTTCCATGTTATATTTTCATAGTTAATGTATATTACCACTGTTTATGGTATACCTGAAATTCCATACAGCATACCAGAACTCACTTTCATCTTCATAGACCGATAACTAGTCAGGTTAATGAAAGTTGACTGACCGACTTGTCACCATAGTACATAGCATCTCAAAATGGTATTAGTTCAAATTGAAACACTTCGGAGAAACAGAATTAAAAGTGGGGGAAAAGAAACTGTACCAATGAAAATTACAATTAGAATGAGAAGTTTAGCCTGAAAAGCAATTAACCCTTTTCTATACTTCGTCTATATCTACACAAGGTGCAGTGAAGACAGAAGTGTACTAATAAATGTGAACGTGTTGATAAACTCCATTGTACGCTCAATATGACTAAGACAAAACTACAAAAGTTACCCTCGTTAGGAATATGACACATGTTTAGCAATTGAATTGAATACTCTATTGTTTTTCATCATAATGAATGTTAGAAACTTACAGTCTTTTGGATTACGTATCATTTGCTTTAAAGCTTGTTGAGATGTATCAAAGTATATTTCACACAGTTGAAATACTTTATCACGAGATATTTCATCCACCTGAGTAAAAACAATTAACAATTAAGGCATTTTATGATGTAGAGGCCAGTACCCTTTAAGTTAAGAAAGAAGTATTTATTTATGTAGACTTTTAAGAAGAGGTTGTTGAATAATTTTAAAGAAACCAAAAAATATGATTTCTTCCGGTTTAATATTTCTCAAATGATTTATCATATATTACATAATGGGAAAAGGGGAATAAGATAATAAAGAAGTGCGTTATCTTTAACTGTCTCTGTTTATCAAAATTTGGCAATAGCGGAACCGATAGACGACTACAAACCACATCTGTAACTAATATCATTTTGTGGTGATAATATCTCCATTTCAAAGCGGACAGGAAATGATTTTGATATAACTGTCTGTAGTCAGTATTATTATTATTGTTTCCTTTAATTCCTAGAGGAACATAGGGCTTCAGCCGTGCGTCTCCATCGCGTTCGGTTCTCTGCTAGAGTCTTCATCTTGCTCCATGTCTGCCCACACATTTTCATCTCCTCTTCACATGACCTCCTCCAAGTCACCCACCCTCGCACTGACGACCAACTCGCCGCTTCCCTTTCAGGTTCCACTCGAGCAGTGGTTTGTCTAGTGATGTCACTTGATGGCTTCCTTAGAGTATGGCCTCCAAGCCATCTCCATTTCTTCCTGCCTATTTGTTTCACAATAGGTCCCGGGTTGGTTTTCTCCCATAGGCCCCTATTGCTTATCTTTTCTGGCCATCTGATCTTGAGTATTGAGCGAAGACAACTGTTAATGAAGGTCTGTAGTTTGTTTGAGATGCGCCAAGTCTCTGATCCGTATAGTACCACTGACTTCACGTTGGAGTTGAAAATCCGGATCTTGTTTTTGATGCTGAGTGCTGTTGACCTCCACACAGACTTGAGAGTAGTGAGAGCTTGTCAGTATGGTAGGATGTTTCTAGTTGTAAGATATGAAGAGATAGTGACTCATATCGTCTGAGAACTCTGACAAGTTTGTGGCATACATTTTGTTTCATGTTTGAGAAGAAAAATGATTTCCTCACATTTAGGGATGCATCACAGATAACTCATTTCTAAACTAGTATATAACTTAATGCCTCATCTGCATACATGTGAATTTAAACTTCTGTTATAGCATGAAGTCTTCTCTTCTCCTTCTAGCATTAATCTTAGCTAAAATAAGAGTAAGCGAGGAGAAAACTGAGTATCCGAACTAAACCTTGTCAGTAATCAATGAAGTTCTTGACTGTTGTGTGGAGAAATTGATTAAAATGTGGACAAACTCCACAAGACAACCAAAAACAAAGGTTGAGAACTTAGTTGCGTAATCCTAGAGTTCGATTTGATTGTCCTCTTCTATTGTTTTTCTTTTCATTCAGTGTAAAATTCATCCTGTGTACGTACAACTTCAGAGTGTGGAGACTTAGTCCGCAAAACTATATGGTATTATTATGTATCTTTGTGTCGTTCCTTCATATTCCCAGAATCAGACAGTTTATCCAGTTTGGTTGTATACCTCTCTAAATAAGTCAGTAATCAAATAATGCAGTTTTTCTTCAACCATTCGATAAGTGAACGGTTGTTCTTTTTTTCTGATAACATAAATTGCATTCACCTTATCATGATCATATAGAATGTAGGAAAGTCAAGTAATAAGTAGCTGACTTGAATAAGTTATGTGGTATCAAAACTAAGTGATGAGGACATATTCTTATGACGATAATCATCGTAACGAATCAGACCATTCAGTTTTGTGTAACGGATACGCCTAAATGGCGTATACTACATATATACATCCTTTTAGTGTAATTGTAGCATAGATATTGATACCTGTGTTTGACTAATTATTCAATGTAAATCAAATTTCACGCACCTTTTCACAATTACGATGATGACAGAAAGTGTCAGAGTTTTAAGTATATGACCGTATAAAGTTTACTTCTTTCTAAAGACCATTTACAGATGATTCTGAAATTTAGACAGACTTGTTTTAAATGACACACTAGTAAGCTATGCAAGCCTAAAGCACTGTACCATGCTAAGTCTTCACAAAGGGGAAGGTGATGACATGAAATCCAAATAAATAAGATATGAACAGCATTATAACCAGTACTCAGATAATGAAAAGCATTCTAATTTACTTTTGGTGGAATGTTAACTGTGAACAAACACATACACACACACTAATGCTCAGTGCCATTCAACAGTGATTCACCATTCCACAGGAATATCTCCAACCTGGTTAGTCAGTGGTAAAGACATAATGAGTGTAATTAGAAATGAAAACTTAGACGTAGAATGTAATACGTGATACTGTCATAAGATAGTAGGAATTTATAAAGAATAAACTTGATCATTTCTCAGTCGATTTAAATATTAGTCAAAAATGGCACAAAGTATTTATTGATTTGTCCATTTGTAAGTTAGCTGTTTGTTTTACTTATTATTTTGACTGTTTTATTCGCTGACATCAAAGTTTATCGGTTTAGTAACGAATGAGCTGCATGTGGGACTAAACAAAGCTTATTTCATAGAATTCGTCACAGGAGTGTATTTACAGTATTTTTAGATGTATATAGTGGACAGTTACCTCTAATGGTAATAATAAGTAAAACTGACTACCAGTTATGCCTAAACACTGAGTTCTAAGGTAAGGATCTGTTAAATTATAGTCAGTTCAAGTGGGTGATTCGATGTCACTGTTGAATGTGATCTTACAGTGATGGTTGATAAATGCCAAAGATCAATAATATGGTTAATTCCAGGCATAACTTTAGCAAGGGACGTTTAGTGAAGATAGTTTGGACGATACCAGATGAAGAAAAGGGATAAAATTCTTGATATAACTACCAATTAGTATTTAAACATACATAATTACAACTTACTTGGTCTAAATCACACGAAATAAAGTACTTTTTGATAAGTTTACGTCTTTCTTCTCTTTCCTCTGCCTTATGAAATTCTATTGAACAAAGTTTCAAATGTTCTACAAACTGTTCATATACATCGTTTGACATTGGTTTCACGTAAATCATGAGATACTGGAAGCGTAGTTGATAAACAAAAATAGACAAATGATTAGTCAGATAAATAGAAACTTTATTGTGTAATATATGAAATATTATCATATTTACAAGATGCTTAGGACATTTCTAACGTATAACCACTGGTAATAAATGTAAATTCTTACTTTAAGACAGTTGAGAATAGGTTTTTCTTATAATTCTTGTCATGCTATTAGTGTGAGGTTGGATTGTTCGAGGTCCTTGATAGTCTTAATACTAAAAACTTAAACTGAACCAAACTGTCAGCGGGTAACTTTGAACAAAAGTGTACCAGTTCGAATAGTTATTACTTAAAGAAAGTGCACAGAAAAGTAATGCAACTACAGTAGATGAAAATCTATGAGAAGACAAACAGCTTAATAAAGAATGAGAAGAATTTTCAGAATTTAGAAGTTCACATAGAGTAAATGAGAGCAATTTCCAACCATCTCACAAGTGATCTCAAGCTACTGGATCCTAGCATCTAGAAGACACCAGTCAGGCAGTCCGCACCCTCCTTCATAGTCTCTATCAACAGTCAAAGACTTCATGGATTGTTGCCACGTCTTGGTCTTACCATCCTCAATTTTTTTTCTAAATCCAGTTTTATTTCAGCTAACGTAGGTCGTTAAGTAAAGTGGTGACTCGGAATATCCATTAAATGTCGTAGCCACTTGATTACATGAACTCCTCCAGGCTCATCGATGGATTTTCTCTCCATACGTGACACTATATTTCTAATCATATTATTACTAACTATATTCCACCAAATAACACAAGAAGATGAACACAAACATTCATGATAAAAACCTTTCCATTTCTTTTAATTCCAACAGCCATATCTCACATCGGTAAAGAAGGTCAGGGCAATAAGCTTTAAGAGATATGGTGAATCCTGCGGAGATATATACTGGAAAGTTTGACTGAAACGGTTTAAAATTTCTGGATTAGAGAAATGAAAGTAAACTTTGTTTAGTATCATACTAACAGTGTGACTCTCTCACACTCAAAATACAAGTTATTTCTGCTTTTAACTCTGGACTATTTTTTATCGATCACTTGTTTAATATGAGCCTAAAAGTGAGCCTAAAAATCCAACTTAAATAAGTTCTGCTAATTAGTAAAAAATTCACTGAAGGGTTGAAAGATTTTATTCATGCATGAATCATGAGAATTAGAAATCAAAATGCTGATGACTACTGTTCAGTATATCACTTTTGTATTCTTACATTACAAAACTATCCATGTATATTGCGGAATTTAGTGAAAATTATGGTTTATAGTTTTTCCCGGAACAGATTTTAATTTTGTACTGAAAAAGTTACTGACATGAATTTAAAGAAAGTAAGGAAGAATGAATGCGTTGGTAGTTCAATTGTAGCACGCTCACCCAACCACACAAGAGTTTCAGGTTAGATTCCCGGCCGATACTTAGTTTACTGGCTGATAGTAAGACTTGAAAAGAGGCGTGAGACTAGTAACCCTATCCCGTAATAACAACACCTCCGTTCATGAAATGTCAAAGCCTAGACGTTTACGCCTTATGTTCCACTCGAAACTCAAAGAAATAAAAACAACAAAAGACAGATTTCTAGACTATGAAGTACTCATTATGTCTTATTGCATTTTTAAAGGCTATATACCGACTTATAAGTACAAGAATTTAATTTAAAATATATGTCATTTTTTCAAGGTTCTAATTAGAAATTGTAACCATTTGAGTTATTTTTGTGGATAAATACTCACTGTGAATTCTAATTCATAATTCAGTTTTGAGTTAGAAAATGAACAGGGTGAGTTAGCTATGCTGAACTGTAAAATCAAACGTAAATATGATGGTGGGTTAAGTACTGACACACTTGAACAAATACTTAGACCTCGATTGCCCCCGTCCTAAAGTGGTAAAGATAGCTTTAGTTAACTGTTTACATAGTCCAGCCAGGAACCTAACTAGTAAGTTCGAAGATTTAAATAACCAAATCAAGCAAATAAAGGAAGTATTAATTATGAATAACTACCCATCAGATTTTATTCAGAAATGCAGGAAGACTTATAAGGAAATTAAGCGTAGTAAGGTATATAACGAAAATAATATAAATAATAAGGAATTTAAAGCCTCGATCGTACTACCATATAAAGAAGGAACGGAGGAGGCGCTACACAGGATTTGTAATACGGTTGGAATTAGGGTGGTATTTAAACCAACCAACTCAGTCAGTGACAAACTTTGTCGGTTTAAGGATCCGGTAAATCCATTTGAGTAAAATAATCCAATTTACCAAATACCAGGCAGTTACTGTGAGAACAATTACATGAGTGATTCTGGTAAAACAAGGTCAGTTAGATTATGGGAAATTAGGAATCTAGCTTGAGCTAGAATGATTGACTCTGTTAAGTTAAATAACTTGGAAAAAACTCAATCACTGCAATACATTCACTTCCATGTAATCACCCAGTAGTCTGGAATAGGGTGAAAGCACTAAAAGTTAACAAAGTTAGGTTGGAATAGAGCTTAGTCACTGGTTCTTTGTTCACCAAATCAACACAAAATGCATGCAATCAAAGTGTTACAACACCTATACCACACATATGGAAAATTACAATGAATAACAGAATGAAGAGAAAAAAATATATAAAGTAAATTATGAAGCTGTGTGAATACAGCGATATAATTATGAACAGCAGTGAATTGTGGTCAAAATGAAACTCTATCCCTCTGTTATATCTAATATGGAATTATATGCTACCTCACTGCCCAAATTCTGCACTTACTTTAATCGTTTTTATCTTATAGGTCAGCAGTTTCTATTACTTGCTAAACAAATACCTTCATTAATTGATTTTGGAAATTAATCAACCTAACAGATTGTCTAAAGTGTCGAATAAAACTGTGGTAAGCAAGATTTTTTTTACCAGGTAGTTGCTAATCTAATCATTATATTACAGTAACAATTATATGAAATTTTAAAGCCTTTGTTAACCTTTCATCTTTGTGAATATGGTTCTGGTAGGCAAGAGCTGTACCTCAAACTGATTCAGAATGGACAACAATTTCGTCGAAAGTACAATAAAATGTTGGTATTCCATTTTCAGTACTTTTCATCTTCAGTCATAGCACAATCCTGTCTTATTCTTTCTTAAGTGCCTGTTAGAACACAGCAGAGATGTAAGTGATGAAGAAAAACCTACCAACAACAACAAGCACCAATCACTACTAATACAAGAAAATTGGAAGAGGTCACTTCCTTCACTTAACGTTTTATTTATAGGCCTCATGGATGAGGATGTTAAAGGAAGAATGAGAAAAGCAGGACAGACCTTCATTACTGAAAACTCAGTGTGGAAATCTGAAGAATTCAGCACTGCGAACCAGATTCGAATATTCAGCACCAATGCTAGGTCATTTCTTCTATATGGGTCAGAAACTTGGCGCTGCAGACTTTTATAAACAGTTCCCATCACTGGTTCCATACTGAAGGTCATATGGGTGACTAGAAAGAATTAATAACACGAAACTCTGAGAACGAACCAACCAAGACCCTATCGCCCAAAAAACATGCCGAAGAAAATGTAAACGGATTGGATACACGCTGAGGAGACCATTGAGTGACATCGCGCTCCAGGCCATTGCTTTAGTGGAATACGGATGGGAAGCGACTAGTTGGGCGTCCGATGGTGACATGGAGGAGACTGTATGAGAAGGATAAGGCACATAGCTTATGGACAGTCATGGAGCTAACTGGAAAATGGACTGCAGATAACAGGATGAAATGGAGGTGTGCTATTAAAGTTTTATGTTCTGCTCGGAACTCAAGCGAATAATAATATGTACTAATAAAATCTCAAGTAAATATTAAACTGTCTATCTGTAGCCCATTGCATTTATTTTAAATTGCAGATAAAATTAAATAGAGTAGATATTATTTACCAAATTAAATCAAACACTTTTAAAATTCACTCACTTTAACAAACTGTTCTCTATCATAAAGTTTGCCATAATCTTCTGTAATGCTTGTTTGAAAAATCGGTACTAAGCATTGTTTCATTTCTTCTGGTAATTTATAAATTAATTCGGAAAATGTGTATATTATATCATATACCTGCAATGATCATTTTTTAAAACAAAACACCATAAGAAATTGAATTGTGAAGCAACTACAAGAATAAAAGTATGGTGAATTATTTTCAGTAATTAATGATCCTCTGATAACCTCTATATAAGTAATTTTTGACGAGATAATAGTGTTCAGTATACAGAATTTTCCGCGAAATAATACTGAAATATAAACTGTGTGGTACTTCATTCAATTCATAAATAATCCCCATCCAGAAATGAATGGTAACAACACAGGTAGTTCAGCTAAGAGACCCTATTTGAAGAATTCATTTTCTTTAGCTGTACAATTGCATTTATATGCAATTTTTTGATGAAGAGGGGAGGGGCAGTGAAAAAGTGATGGGTTCTCATAATCACAGCTGTTAAGATTAGTCAGCGCATTATCTGAAATGGATAAACACCGAAATTCACTGACAGAAATATCAAACCAAAAGCTTAGAGAAAGGAAACATTATCCGTACCAAAACAGAAACTTTACATGAATCTTGACTTTAAATTTGACTTCGATATCCTTAGGAAAAGAACACTCTTCTCAGCAACACTAAGAGTGGTATTCTTCAGTAGTCCACCGGTCTGAGAGAGCCTGAAGGAAAGGATCTCATATCTGGCTACCTTTATGTGCATATGTCAGTTCATCCGTTCTTGTCCAGTCAGGTATATTGGTTGTTAGACGAGTATCCTGTATAAAAGTGCTCAAGAACACGGTTCCGTTCAGAAAAGAATCAGTGGCTGTATCAGGATTAGGATAGTCAAACATCACGTCAACACTGTCATTCTATCTCAACAAATGTCTCTGTCAAAGTAATCTACAAAATGAAGAATATAAAAGAAAAGGGGTAAAGCAAAGAGTTACTCTTTTCGGTGAAATCATTCTTAGGCTGTAAGCACTCCTTTACCTAACTAAGCCAGAAATAAAACTGGTAAAGAGAGGAGGTTGGGCATGAGGCTAGCAACCCCATCCCGTAAAAATAAATACCACTGCTGCCGAAACTTCAAGTCTGTAGCTTGAAGCCCTATGTTCCACTGAGAACGTAAAGGAATTAAAAAAACAGCTAAAGAAAATGAATTCTCCGAAAAGGGCCTCTTTGTTGAACTACATGTTTGGTTATTATGTTTCATTCATCTTTGTTCATACTGTAAGCTAAACTTGGTAAATAAATAAATAAAATAAATGATGATGAGATTGTCTGGGATGGCCCTCAGTTGCCAGATTAATATTTATCTAGGGAGTAATGATTTTAAGTGTGAAATGAAACTCTCTATCATGGCAGAGGTTTCCGGATTCATAGTCAACAGTCCTACCATCTAAGTTATGATATATAGTATATAATTATAGTAATAAGTAAATGAATGCGAACAATGGCGCACACTCTTTAATCATTCTAACGCATCAATCCTATTGAACATTATCATAATAAAAAATAGAATAATATTCAAATGTTTCCGTTTTGTTGCATCTCCCTCCAGGCCAAATGGGAAGCAATAAGTGGGTCGTCCTAGGGTGACATGGAGGAGATCGTGTAAGGGTAAGATGAAAGATTGTGGGCAATGATGGACCCAGCTGAAGAGGACGGCAGGAAATAGAACAAACTGAAAATGTGTTGTTGAAGTCCTACGTTCCACTCGGAACCCAAGGGAAAAATAATAATATTTGTTTGTTTGGTTAGCGAAAGCTTAAAAACAACTTAAGAATTATTTTAATCTTGCAATGAACATGGAAAATCTCTAGTTACATTATTATTATAGACGCATTAGAAACAATGGAACACAAGTATATTTGAAGAAGACTCACAACGTTAGCATCAACGGAATTCTTTTTAGCTGATATAAAACTATCGTAAATGCTAGAAAGCATCTCAGTCCGTCGATTATACTCTTCCTCCAGTTGTAATTGTTTTTGTTTAGCTTCTGCACGCTTAACGTCAGCCGTAAGCTTCAACTTGGCCAGTTGATTTTCAGACCTCATGAACATTTCATTCTGCAATTTAGCAACTGTATTTCTCAGTCCTCTGACATATGGTGATGATTCATTGAAATGATGATATTTGTGATTATTGCGCATAAGATATTCAGCCAATCGATTAATTGGATTAAAGTTCCTATCCAGTCCAGCATGATAATTTGTTTCATCTAGTATGTCATTTGTTATCAGATTCCGTTGACATGCCTCTTTCAGAATAAACTCTAGTCCTAAAACTACTTGAGGTAAAAGATTACCAATTAAGTAAGCTCTAGCCTCTATAGTTCTAGGTTCCGAATTCAACCACTCCATCGATAACATATCTAGTGGTGTCTGTCTGAGGAGGTTGCGCATTTTGCACTTATCATCTTCTTCTGTTTTGATGGCATTTTGAAAAAGTAGATCAAAACTTCTTTTTAAAAATTGATCCTTATCATATTTTGTCATTTTTACTATGCATTCGTCACTATTCTGTGTGACTGAACTGTCCGTTAATGTAATCGATGGGTCTAGGGATTTTCTAATGGTTGGTGAATGAGTTATATGTAACGGATTGTGACTAACTGTAGACATTTCACGTGGTGACTTCTCTCCCAAATGCCATGAAAAGCTCATGATGATAAGGCTATAATGAATTCAAAACAAAACCAACAAAGATATCCATTAGATGAGAATAGGAACAGTGTGACGTTTAAAAGTCTTATAATTTCTGTATTTCTTTGAAATATTTAGTTACTACATGAGAGCCCTCTGAAAAAAAGTTTTCAGTATTCCAGCAAAACCGTAAAACTATTTGAAAACGATGAAGAACATTATCTAGTACTAATTTATGAGTGGATTATAATTTTGAGTTATTTTCATATGGAATGTGCCACGCCCACCTAGAAACCTGAAAGTCTCGAATATAATCCCGACGCAAAGTAAGTGCTCACTGCTGAGGCAATCCAAAACAGAAAAAACCAACAGTTTTACTCTATGTGACATTTAGTGTTTTTTAAACTAGCTTCAGTCAGAAACTCATCTAGTATTGCTGTTTTCTACCAGTCTGTTCTGTAGGACTAAAACCAATGCCAGATTTTCATTCACTTTCTGTGATTTATCTGCCCAGACTTTATTTTAATTTAAGAATGTTAGAAAACTCACCAGTGTGGCTGAATGATCTTTAGAACAATTTTCGCATTTTAATGCTGAGTAAAAAACTATAGTGAATAGGTTTTATTCTTTATTTAACTGGCTTATCAGGCTTAAGCTTTTGCTTCCAAGGAAGTGCCGTTTAGAGTGTCGTTTCGGATGAAGTAGTGGATGGAATTCAATATTAGCTTAATTTAAAGACAGTTATCAGTTCCAAATGTCTTTAAAAACTTTCGCGTACCTGAACAGGACTTCACCATTGACAATGAACGCATACAACCAGTTGGTGCATTGAGAGAAAGAGAGAAGCATACACTGTATAAATGGTACGAAGTGTAAGCAATAATTTCATCATTGAGTTTCGTATTTCCACCATCAAAAACATTTACATATCTTGGCTTTTATCTGATATTGTAGAAGAAGGCTTAACCTTATCCTGGCATATAAATACGTGAAAGCTTTTTAACCTTGGATGTAGCCGATCAGCTGTAATTCTTCGATAGACAAATAATTCTCCTATACTTTCTTGCATTTTCCTCTAGTTTATATACATATTTTTAGATATAGACCGTCTAAATAGAGAAGCTATAGTAGTGCTAAAAATTATTTTAATAAATTTGATATGCAAGATTTATCTTGCACATAAGTTTAAAATGAAATAATAATCCTTTATAGCTTTTTTTTATTATTCATAATGTGTACTCAGGTCAAGGGTACATCTACATCCTTACAAAATCACTTCACTGTTTAGGAAAATAGATGACACAATTCAGGTATTTCCCATATGTCACATGCACATATTAAGTTCTGACATTATTCCTAAGTTGATGGGATATGGCAACCTATAATCTGTCTTGTGAGAGATTGTTTGTGAAACTGAAAACTTTTGGAATCGTGGATCGACTCTTCAGCCTAATTGAATAATTATCTGTCGGAAGCTCACACAGAGGATAGGGGTACATAGCCACAATTCAAAAGTTACTGTACTCAGCTCCATACTAATTTTTATATGGCGAAAATAATGATTCAGATATCTATTAAACACAAAATAATTGAGCAAAGAATATCTTTTTCGATAATTTCCTCTTCTGGCTCTACAATTATATATATGTTTATATACACAGAATATCCTAGAATAGTAGTAAATAACAATACTAGTGTTTTTTAAATAATATCGATTTGTAAAGTAAGATCAGCGGAATTACAGATCATTAAAGATGCTTAAATTGTAATAATAATAATAAAGATTTAGTAGCAAATAGAATATCAACTAAAATTATGAAAATTCCACAAAAATTCAGGATCATTCAAACCTAGGTGGCCAAGGAAGGATAATGTCTGAACTAACTTCTTTTGGATGCACAAATTAGGTTTCTTAATATGGATCCCAACAGCCTCAGCAATATTTAGTAATCGAATTCTTAAGGCGAAATTAAGATTTGTTGGTATGCGGTAAATGACTCTGAAAGCCTGGTTAACATCAATCTTATGTTCTGTATCCACAAGATGAGATAGAATAGCGCTACGAATAGATTTTGTTTGTCCTTTACTTAACAAAGCGGGGTGATTTTCGGAAATCTGACGAGAAACACGCCTAATTGTACGGCCTATGTAACTGGCTCCACAGGAGCAGTTAAACTGGTAGATACGCATGAAAGAAGCGAAATTAGGCAGTTTATCTTTCACTTCTGAAATTAAAAGAGGAGTGGTTTTCAAGGCACAGCGTAATTCAGCCGCAGGGAATGCTCTTTTCCACCGCATTTCTAAGGCGCTGTGTTAGTATCTCGCTGATGTTATCCCCAAGAAACTGCATTTGTAAGAATAAGGCCATTTTAAGAACTGTTGATACCTTTGGCCGCTTTGATTTTAGTTTATATTCTTATCGGTAAACTTTTCTCGATAACCGTTTTCATTCAGCAACCGTCTAATATGATTAAGTTCCTCATCAAGATATTCATCCGAGCACATCGCTCTTGCTCTGTGAACCAAGCACTTTATCAGATTGCGTTTGTATTTTAGAGGAACGAAGCTGAAAAAATGAGTATTATGAACACACTAAAACCACAGCATAATTCTCCAAATACCATAGAACTGGTCAAACTTGCTTAATTTGTGCGCAGCTATGCATAATTGCACGTGAAAAATACCTATTTTTCTCATTTTGCAATCGGACAAAAAAGGTTAAAAATTGGCATATTATAAACTAACCAATAGCAAGAAGGAATGGCAGAATTTCAGTGATCTGATGTGATTTCACCTATTTCGGTAGCACAGCGGTTAGGACTCTCTCCAACTATACACATGGTTCGGGGATCAATTCCCCGCCGACGCAAAACTGAGGTCAATGGTTGGCTTGCAAAATTTAAGAAATCAATATAACACGCTGAAAATTCCATACCTGCATCAAAAATACGATGTGGAATGAAGCCATAATCAAAAATTTAAAAAAATCAATTTTACCGATATTTTAACAAAATATAGACAGTATTTTCCATCATTTATCAGCCACTTCCGCATTTTGTCATAAACTTGGACAGTTTTTTTTGTTTTGGTCACTGCTTAACCGGGATCTGCCCACTGCATTAATACCCTTATTTCCCCCGACAAAACTACCCACTTAAACTATAATTTAACCATTTTCCGCCCATTTTGCCCGAATGGTTTTCCATCAACATGATTGTACTTTTGATCCGAATCTGTATGTCAAGCACTCCCCTACATTTTCTAAACTACAGGGTGAATGTATGTATATATTACATATATGTGATCGGTAAATAATTCACTTCATTTGTTAATGACAAAATTGTGCGGAATGCAATCCCTAAGTAAAATAATTATTGAATACAACCATGAGACCCTCGTATTTCAGAACTTTTTATATTGCATTTATTAGGCAATGGTTAGGAAATATTTCGGAGCATAGTTACGTCACTTTTCAAAATCCCACGTGCTTCCTAATCTTGGTGTCATAGTAACATGCAGCACGTTAAATGTTCAAGAGCAGAGCCCTGCGAGATATTTGGTATCAGAGAAATTTTTGAAACTTATTCCTAGTATTAGTGCATAAATTTTAGTTCTTGGTAGATTGATGTGTTTGAATTTCTGACAGTAGACTTTAATAAATTTTACTGATGTGAGACATGTAGTAGAATTTATTTTATGAGTAATCAAGTAGCGGAAGCTGATCGCAATTGCTCACATTTGTACTTTTGTTTAAAAAATCGTCTAATTGCTTCCTCTGAACTCGATACTAGTGCGAACTCTGTACTGTGACTTACAGACGTCTTCTAACAACTAGCGTAATGATAGGAAATATTTCATCACTGCTTGAATATTTATGGTTCAAGAATTTATTTTAGTTTTATATAGATTACGTGGTTCCGCTAATTTTTCATTCGTTTGGTTTGAGTGAAAATGGCTGAGCAATGATGGGACCTAATGCAGATAGTTTAAGAAATTTGAAGGAGACTTCAGGAATATAGATAAAACTGTCCCACCGTCGTGAAGGAGCGCAAGGTCTACTCTTTACCGTAACTTGACGAGATCCCAGCTGAGGACATTATCTGGCTGGGATGACTCAACCTCATGATAGAAGGTGATCCATTTATTTTTCATATTTTCCTCAGCCATAACTTACAGCCCTGGATCGAACAGCCAAAACATAGTTAGAACGTTCCAAAGAATAATACACTATCGAATGATTACAACTCAGAAACAAAATTTTTCGGCAGCCACTCTACTAGTCGGTGTATACAGTATGTCCTTTGCCTTAGTATAATTAGTTTTCAAATCGTGGCCCAGTTAGGGATCAGCCTCTGATATCCATGAAGTTAGTAGTGGCATAAATGCTATAGTTGAAACTTGTCGACCTCTTATTCGACCATTATGACTTTTCTGTATTTTTAAGGGGTCGCCTAAACGAAAAAAATACTGTATCCTCCTAACATCACTTCGTCTGTGTAATTTAGTTTTCCAAATTTACTGCTTCTGCAGCGGTATAACTCTTTTTCCTACAGTCATTGCCTTAGAAATAGAGGTGAACTTTTCTTCCTTGCTTTAGTCAATTTAAATAAACATTATATTGCTAAGAGTTAAAGAAGAACCTTAAAATGGCCCTTAGAGAACAGCAATAGATTATTTACCCTACGTTTCAGCATGGGCTTCTTTTTTGAACCAGGAAAACCTAAACGCAGATGAATAAAAGACGCTATAACATTTCTGAGGTGATATCATGCTTCCATACACATGTGCATCCTTTCTAAAGAGAACCATCATTAAAACAGTACAGTATAAAGGTAACTGAGGTAAACTTCTATGTAATTTATACGAAGAATATGATGATGGAACGCAGTGATACCAAGTTAAAAAGAATGCAGTTCCTTACATGAATAAAATTGCGGAAACATGATTGAAAAGGTATAACAGGAGGAGAAACGGCCGAAGCTCAACTACTTTTAAGTTTACACTACAACTGATGTTAGGGGTTATTACGTGGCCACGTGGTC